GCATTAAGAAAGTATCACCGTACTTTAATTTTAAACATGATGCATCTCACCAGAGTAGGGGAGATGCGTGTGACCTTCCGCCCTGCATGAGTGCTAACTTTGTGGCCCTTTCTGATGGTTTTGTGTCTTGCAACTAGAATCAGCCTGGGCAGTTGTCCAGGATAGGATTGTCCAGTGTGACGTTTGTCCATGGTCGCCTAATGCCTTCCTCAGCTCCAGTGCACCCACCCAACTCCATGTGGGTGCATCTGGGAGAAGGTCTTGAAGGGGGATCTGAATTGGCAGGCAGATTGGGGGAGATGGTGGTCCTTCCAATGGCACCATATCCTTGAATGTTGGTTCGGGGTGTTGAGAGCCCTTGGGCATGGCGCCCTGTATTGATTATTTACCCTCCCTTCCTCCATGAGCCTTCTTCTCACCAGCATGGTCACCAGCTTCTCTTGCTCCTCCTCTTTCTCATGCCACCACTTGCTTGCTTGAGCAGCAGAGAACTGCATGGATCTGTTGATTCTTCTTCTCATGACCACGGTTGTCTGGATCAGGTGGCCATGTCCATCACCAGCAAAAGGGAAGCGCAAGTCCAGGGGTGTCTTGCCAGTGGATTCCTACCTGGGTGCAAGCAGGTCCCTGGCCATGCCTCCCCTTGACACTGGCCTTGGTAGCCCTCTTCGTTTGGGGCATCCTTCTCATGAGAGGTGTCTCTCCTTCTGCATTCAATTCACACCCTGCCTCTCATGGTTTTTCCCTTCTTTTTTCCTTCTCTGGCCCGCTTCTCACTTTTAAAATGGCGAAAGCAAACATGTTCCAAGGAGCACACTGCTCTGTTCATTGTTAAATGAAGCAATAACCTATGCACTTGTAATGCTTTCACTATGACCTACTTACATACTACTTCACCCTCCTTATAGTATGATTAAAAGCTCCTTTGAATCCACCATTCCCTCAAGGGATTTGAGGCTAGAATTTAACAAACTGCTCAGAAGGCTTAAGTCGGTAAGAGGGCTTCCCTACAGCTTCTCCTAGCTAATTCACATGTAATTAAAAGGGAAATAAATATTTCACAAGACCCGAGTTTTGAAACAAAAACAACACACAACAAAAAGCACTTCCCAACCTTTCTTCCACATAGGAAAGAGAAAAAAAAATGCATGGATAAAAATAGACTGATTTCAAGAAAGAGGTTCTGTGTCGGGGGTTGCCCTCAATCTTTTTACATCCATGGAAGGGGTGGCCTTTGATGGGCCCAGAACTGGCCTCTGCAAAATGAGGCCAGGAAGCCAGCCTTGTGACCTATTTCTGAAGAGGAAAATGGACCACAGAACCTCACACATCCTCTCTTCTCCCCCCGTATTTCCTCGAAAAATAAGGAATTATATAAGAAGATGGCAGTGGGTTAAAACTAGAATAGAGAGACTTCGTATTCAAATGAATCTCCTCATTTCTTCATCTTTGAGCTCTTGTCTCCTTTGGCTGAGTATGAAAAGCCTGCCCTTTCTGCAGTGGAAGATTTTTTTTTTTAAATTGAAAGTTAATCCTCCTCTACTCTAGGCTGGATTAACCACCGTGGAGGCCTGAGATCAGAAATCAGGTGGCAGCGTCCATCTGGAGAACGTTGTAATGACTTTTCCCTCTCTCCCTCTGCTTCATTTTCTTCCTCTCAGATTTCTGCAAATGTTCGCAGGTACTTGGGGTGGTAGGGAGGGGGAGTTGTTCAGATAAGAAACCAATGCCAGAAGATTAGTGTTAAATCAGTATTCTGGAATGTTCCGTGGCCACCCTGCTCCCCCCCCCACCTCACTGTGCCTGTTTCCTGACTGTTTCTTCATAATTTTGAATCTTTTTCCTGCACCCATGAGTCAAGCAAAGTGGCACATGGCAATTGCAAAAGCATCACTCGGTTGCATTTATTTATTTATTCAATTTATCGGTTGCCCTAAAACCAAAGCTCTCAGGGCAACATGTATAAGAGAAGCAAACACAGCCAACCTAATGATAAAATCAAAGATAAGGCACATTAAACGGATTGTTTTAAGAGCAGCAGCAATAAAAATAATAAGAAAATGCCAAGCAGCCAACACATGGGGAAAGATGGTTTTATAGGCATAGCATTAAATATGGAATTAACCATTTGGCAAGCAGCTGTTAAACATTCTTTTAAAAGATCTGGGTGACTGTAACAGTCTTTGCCTGGCAACCAAAAGTCAGCAATGTAGGTGGCATGAGGACTTCAGTTTGGCGTTCCTCAATTTGGGTGCTCCAAAAAAACAGCCCCACTTTGAATCTCAGAGCAGTGCCTCAGTTGATGGATTCCAGGCATTCCCTGGGAGATATCCAGTTATTTTCCTCCAGAGAGCAGACCTGTTTGCGATGTTGGCTTCAGGATTTGAAGGTAGGGAGAAGTCCTACATTGTCCCCAACCTGGAAGATGTGGGACATGCAAACTGTGCTGATCTTTTTGGCCACTCCCTGCAAATCAGAGTTGGTACCTTCTGGAGCTGGCTAAACCATGTGTCACACAGCTCATGGCCGTTGAGACTCATCTCCATTGCAGAATTCACTTGCAAAGGAGTGTTGAGAATTCCAAGCCTAAAGTTCCGCTTTGGTACATATTTTTAGTTTCTGGATACCAGTCAATAGTTAGTCATTTTCACACCAACACCACTCGCTGCTTCTACATATCCAGTCTGTGCCGATTAGTCCGCAATCAGATTTCTACTGCAGGTTTTCAGCTAGTGTCTGAGTAATACTGTGGAAATGCTAAGTGCTATTGCTTAATTGACTTCATTTTTGCAAAAATTTCCAATGCACATATTTGTCTAGCAGAACAACAGGAAGGGCTGTACAAGAATGATTTCTCAAATGCTGGAGCATATCCCATTGCAACCCTCGGTGTTAACCAGAGTACATGTTTTCCGATAATGTTTACAAGTTCCTGAATTCACAGCTGCATTTTTCAGAAAGCACTTTTAGAAATGCATATTAAGAAATGTACCTTTTAAAATTCTCTCCTTTAGAAATGCACGATTCAATGACTTCATGTTTGAGTGTGCTGTGTCCGCTGATGCTAACAAATCATGGTTTCAATCACAGACAACCCACAAATAACAATCAGACAACAAACCATGGGTTCTTTACAGGATGTGTTAGTGTGCCTGGGTTCAGACAACAGAACAGCCTGTGTTTCAATATCCGCCCATGACTCAATGACAATCCACATTCAACCCAGGGCGGGTTCACATGGGTCTGTCATGTTGTCTGGATCTAGTCTAGGAGTTCCTGGGTGGTAGGGATCCTTTTAGGAGGTAGGATTTGTTTTCTGAAACCACAGAGATAACCAGTGATCAGTTCTGAAGTTTCCATGCTTCACTGTGGCCTTTTTGGCTGCCAAAGCTCAGGATGGCCATTTTACCATTGTTGGGATGGAAATGCCATAGAGTCCCCTAGCAAGAACGGCTGCCGCTTCTAGCCTTCCATCTCTCTCCCCTTCAGTCTCAGGACTGAGCTCAGCCCCCTGGCAACAGACATGCCATGGCTTGCCCTATTCCCATTGGCTGAGCAATGTGTCCATCTCTGTGTTTAGTAAACAGGAAAACAGTCCCAAGCTGGAGGGAGGGAGGGAGGGAGGGAGGGATGGAGAAGGGGGAATTCCAACAAAACTGGTCCTGTTTAATAATCTCTGTTGGGAATGAAGCAGCTGGGAAGCCCTGCAGGTGCAGCCCAGAGGGGGAAGGGCAGAACCGGCTCAGGGACAGGGAGAAGGACGCCGCTTCAGGGGCAGGACAGTGGCTCTGCTCAAGGGGGCTGCCAGAACATGTGGCGAGGCCAGGAGAATGTGCCAGGGAGGGCAGAAACCTCGTTGCTTGAATAGTCAGTCTGTGGCGGCGGTGCAGGGTGCCTTGGCAGGGTGTGTGAATCCCGCCAGTTTCTGAGCCCAGTGCCTGAAACAAGCTATGGCTCCATGTCGCTCAGACTTGTGGCCGCCCAGGTGTTTTGATCTACCTCTCCAGTCGGGCTAGCCAGCATGCCCAGTGGTGATGTCTGGGCATGACGTCTCTTATGCAGACTACAAACAAGCATCGCCAAGGCTACAGACGGTGCCAGCTTGCAGCCCAAAAGGGACAAAAGTTCCCAGCAGGCTTTGTATTTATTTATCAATTTATTTAAAACATTTGTATGCCACCCAATTGAGCCACAGTACCTCTGGGCAGCTCACAACACAAGAAAAAAGCACACTAGAACATAATAAAAACCACAACATATTATACATTAAAAACAACAATAAAATACAGTAAAAATTACTGTACATATATATGTAAATATATGTAGATAAAATACAAAACAAAGGTCTATGGCAATTAATTATTAACATGTTTTTAATAATAGAGAGCATTCCAAATATGGGGAGCAGCTGCAGAAAAGGTATAACACAGCATCTGGTAATCATGTGTATTAGTGAGAGGCATACAAATTTAAAAATAAATAAAATCCTAGAAGTGTCATTTACATCCCTGGGGTGGAACACCATCTTTTCACAGTGGCACCTCCATGGCTGCAAGTCTCTGAGCGCTGGGTTAACTCTCCCTTTCCATTTGACCTCTAACGCTTGGGTCTTATACCTCACCCCTCTCCTCTGTGTTGGCACTTAGTCAACAACATTGCTGTTTACCTCCTGCTCCCCAGAGGACTCAGAGGGTCAGTTCCCTTGCCGCCTTCTTGGGGTGTGTCTACAGAAGTACTGAAGCCAGTCTCTGCAGGTGAGGAGCGATGGGGCTGTAGGACAAAACATGAACACGTGAAGACCTTCCAGACCACAGCTTGCCCACCTCCAGTCTCGCTCAACATAGTCCACTAACTCTGGAAATGGCTTTCGAATTTTCATAGTGGAATCACCACCGGCATTATTTGGAGATGTGAATGACTGAATCAAGACCCACGTGCATTGCATGTTCGACCACGGAGCTCCCACACCTCACAGGAACTTTGATCTGTGAGTCATGATCATAATCGCCATTAAGTTTGCTTCTAATTGCTGTGCTATTTATTCCCTACCACCACACATGCATGTACAGGATCTAAATAAACTTGGATAAAGTTCAGAGGGGCATGTTGCATTAGCAGTCTTTCTTTTAATTCACTGTTGTTTTATGGGATTTCTGTACATTGATCTTCCCGGTTGCATTTATTTGTGCATGTGTGTGGCACATTTTACTATTTTCTCCATTCTCTTTCTAAGCCTCTTTGCAGCCTTTTAGGAAGTTTAAAAGAAATAGAAATTCCATAGCCAAATGCTCATGACGGCCCAGGTGCATTATTTCAAATGCTCCTCACAGTCCTCCAACAAGGAAATGTTCATTTTTCACACAGAATAAAACAAAGCTTTTCTAATTGCATGTGACAAGTATTGGAAGGTGCTTCCAATGCTCAAGAAATGTCTCTTTTCCCTGACAAGATAGTAGCAAACTGATTGGCATTTATAGCATATGCTAATTTCAGTTTTTAAAATGCATATTACCTAAGTATGCCATGCAGAAATGAAACAGAAGGATAGTGTGTGGAGATGGACAAAAAATTTTTTGAAGTTTGCATGATCTTTTCTGTGCACATTTCTCCTGATATATGTATTTGTGTGTGCGTTTCTGACTAGTACGCAAACTTTTGTGAGCAACTTTCAAAATACTTACATATTTCTGCAGTACACACATTTTTGCTTACCTTTTTGATTGGAACATTCAGAAAAGAATGAGTTTCAAAGGATGGCTGACTTTTCTTTTTAGGAATTGTTTAAGCATTTAGCCTGCATGCTGTGGCCCTTTTTAATTGCTTTATAGATGTTTAATTCATTATGTTCTAATTGGTTTTAATGTTTGTTTTATTCTGTTAATATGTTTTATGCATTGTAAGCTGCCTAGGAAGGCTTCAGCAATTTTAGGCGGCCTATAAATACATGGAAATCAATCAATCAATCAGTCAATAGTGGTTTGAAAGTACAAAATGAGGCATTACAATGTGAAGTGAACATATTTCTCCCCATTCCTAGGCTTATGTTTGTTGATTTTCTTTTTTAAAAAGGTCTGTTTGCTATGTGGCAGAGAAACCGTATATCTTATGTTAGGTTTCTTCTCCAGTGCAATCCCATATACTTTTACTTGGGAATATACCAGGGTGAATCCTAGAAACATTTAGGGAACAGTCTTGGGTGTGTTAAGACAAAAAATAAATCCCACAATGCCAGAAGTTGTAGGACGTATTTCCTTCTAAATGTGCATAGGATTGCACCCCTACTAGTGAGTAAGCCCCACTGAACATTGGGAACTGCTTCCAGGAAAATGTGCGAACCAGAGTGTTGAAAGAATACACAGAACCATGCAAAAGATGCCAGACAATGAGGAGGCCTTCCTGGCAGGCTTGTATTCTAAATGAATGTGAAACATGAGAGTGTGGGAAAGGCAGAGGTGTGGTGAGGGAGAAAAACGAACAGGTGAAACAGGTGGGCCATTATTAGCTTTTTAAAATTGATCAGTGGATGAAGCTGTTCAAATGTCAGGGAAGAATGAGCAGCAAAGAATATCTCTCTTTGAAATAATGGTGTGGGAGTCCAAGAAAAATCTCTCTCTCTTATGAATTTCTTTTAAAAATCAAGCTTCTAGTCCTTATCATTGCAACAAGTTGGGCAACTCTTTACTCCTTTTGTGATGCTCCCACCCTACTTGTAAGTTTTCTGGAAATATTAAGTGTTGGTCCAATTCAGCACTGGTTCCTTAGATTTTTTCCTAATCAGAATGTTACCAACTAGCAAGTCAAATGCAAATACAAAATAATGCACAATAATGTTGCTATTGTATGCTTGCGTCTCTCTCTCTCTCTCTCTCTCTCTCTCTCTCTCTCTCTCTGTGTTTACCCAATAGATGCACATCACACAATCCCAGCTTCCTTGCAGAAGAACTTGGGTTGTCTCAGTGCAGAAATAGCAATTATTGGAGGTTTCTGTTGAAATATCCTACATTATAATCACAAAGAAAGAGAGATAGAAAGAAAACAGTAATAATGGTAACAAAAATAACACATGAGAATGAATAACCCTTTTCATTTTACAGAGTTTATCTCAAAAACTTAAAATATCAGTAACTGTTCTGTTGATTCTGTGTTTATATACTTAGGAAACATAGTTGAGTGCAGAATTTTAATTCTTTTCAATATTGTTCAAGAGCCCTGGCAAAGAGTTTCAATAGAAGGGTACAGTTAATAAAAAGGAGAGATAGAGAAAAGAAGATTGTTTCTAAGCTCTGATAGATGCAAGATGAAAGAAGTAACATGGAAGGGAAGAAGAAATATTTTCTAGGCATTTTTATTTTTATTAGAGCAGTTCTGTGCCATTTAATATAATAAAATCTTTGAGGGCTCATGAGTGACTGAAACATCTGGCAGTTGTAGGACATTTTTCTGTCTCAACATCACCTGTTTGAAAATGGAAAGCATGACATAGGAATGCTTTATTGGGGGGGTGTTATAAAAGGAAGGGGCTTTTTGCAGTATCAGAACTTTGTACCACTCCCAGATCTGTGTGTCCAGCATCCACAAAGCTGATTAGCAGTCCAGAATCACAGGCAACAGTGCACAGAATTCTTCCCCGATGACTTGTCTATCTCCAGTGGCCCTTCTCATATCATTTCTTACAGGCTTTTTTAGACAAGTAGGCAGAAGTGGCTACAAGCATTTGATAATAAGAAACTACCATGGTTACAAGATGCAGAAATAACTGCAGAAACATAGATTAGGTCATCTCTACAGTAAATGATTCATAAACATGACTATAGGAAATTTTATAAGTCAGAGCATAGCTCCCTTGGGATTTGCACACTGGTGCAGAACGAGGAGAATTGTTGAGTTGGCTTCTACCAAAGATACCAAACTATCTTATCTCTTGATGTGTGCTTAAGTTTTTAGGAATATCTTTCACAACTAAGGAGCATTAATTAGCCTGTGTTGATTCCATATTCATGGCTGTTAACCTGGAATGCTGCATGCTTGTTTGGAAGTGCGGGAGGGCTTCTGCAGATGGAATCAGTCGGATATAGCTGGATGATGAAGCTCATATTGTCTTCGCTTCCACTGCAGCCCCAGGCTGTGCGCTGCCCTGGTGGGAGGAGCAGTAGGCAGCCATCTGAATCTCCCACAATGCAGCAGAGAGATGCTGCACTGGGGGCATTGTGGGAAATGGACATGGCTATACATTGGGTTCACTTGTTAGCAAGAGTCCAGTGATATCAAAGGTGCCTAGCCATTCACACGTACAAAACTTTTAATGAAGGGATTTGGACCACCTCTCTAGTAGGGATGGAGAAAATGTTCTGCATCTGGTCCATGTCCTTGGACTTGTATTTGTTCACTCAGAGCCCTATTCTGTCCAATTCTTGCATTAAATGTGCACAGACGCTCCCATTCATATAATTTAATTTCTGCTTTCTCACATTTCTCAACATACCCTTTGGCCTCAAAATACATATCTTAAAACACATCTGGACACATTCTGGGGGCCAAAACTGGTCAGGGCATCCAGGAACTGCAAAGTCCTGTGGAAAACTTAAGTTCCAACCTGCACTTTCATCAAGGAGGCCCAGTTCCATCAGGTCGGTCACTCCATGTCAGAATTTGACTAACTCCAATTGCTCAGTCAAACTTACTCCCTGAACATCTTATTCCTCCACAAACCCACATGGGGCAACACAAGCTGACCATCCAGCAGGATGAGTGGGCAACATGGGGATTCACCACCCCTCCTGAGCATGGCACATGTAAGCTTCAAACAGGACTGAATTACCCGGGAAACCCAAAGCACCATCGGTACACTGTGCACATGTTCAGCCTGGGTACACGAGGGCTAGAAGTGTGCAGCACAGAATATGCATGCAATCCCTGAAGCCAGCCGTCGTGCACACCCAGCTGCTCTTTAGGCATGTCTGGGTTTAATGCTATGATCTGAAGGGGGGTCGTAAAAACATTACTGTGCCACACTCTTACAACCCTCCTGAAATCAAAAAGCCTGAAGTTTTTCCCTTAACCCTGAGACTTCCCCCTCCTCTCCTAGTGAGACCCAGCTAAATATTTTGCAGCAATTGCTCACATATGTCTCTCGTTCCCTGCATCCACTCCCCTTCCTTGCAATTCCAACATACAGACAGCAAACTCCTTGAGACAGTGAGTAACCTGCCCGTCTCTGTTCTTACCTTGCTCTATAGAGCAGTGGGTCCATTGATGCTGCGACATGAATAAATGCATCGTAGTGAGTAGGTCACAGTTCATATTTGGCAAAAGCTGCAATAAGCTTTTACAGGGTGCATTTTTAGCAGTGGCTAAGAGAGAGGCATGGAAAGAAACTTGCAAAGGAAGAGAAGGGTTCTTAGTATCTTGGAGGGCAGTTCAGTTGCAAAGCACAGTAGCAAACAAGCAGGTATTACTTCTAAGTTGTCCTAGTATGCCTTAAACAGAATCTTTCTATAACCAGGCACGCATTCCTGAGCTCCTAAGGACTAAGCGAATGTAGAGGGATGGGATCCCTCATGCTGGCCCTCCTACCAATGTCCCTATGCCATGCGCTATCAGTGCCTGAGCGCCCCACGTTGAGCAAGGGGGCTGGGCAGAAGCGGAGCTCTCCCCCTGCTTGTCTAAATGCAAGGAAAATTCTCTGTGCACTTGAAGATCCTAAAAACAAAAAACAAAACAAACTTACGCAGAGGGTTCTGCTCGCATCCCCTCAAGAATGAGCAACACTCCTTTTCAGAGCTTGCCGCTCAGCACAGAATGGTTGGGAACTATTGCATAGAACCTGGAACATCTAAGGACACTCTGAGTTTGGCCCATCCTCTCTATAGGCTTTTAGCTCTCATGCATTCAGACAGACGTTAGCAATAGGTCTCACATATGTATGCCTGCGATGTGACTACATGCCTTTTCTTTTCTGGTCTATGTGCTGAGTCAAAGTAACCTAGCTTTGTAGATGTGGATGTGTATGCCAGGAAACGAGCCAGTTTTTCCAGCAAGCCGGAAGATCGCCGTGTCATTCGCCCCCATTCAGTTCCCTCTGCTTCCCCTGCCTCAAGACCACCTTCTCGGCTTCTTTCACCCTCACTGTCCTCGACCTCATTTGCCCAGGATTTTGGGCCCTGGTTCACTGGGACTGTCACGCCACATGTAGAGTTGTCACATCAAAACAAAAGGTCGAGGAACTTCATTGAAAGAATGTGGATGTTTAACAAGAGGAGGACTAATTTTAAAAATTTCTTCCCGTGAGTTTATATGCTCATGTCAGCAAGCTCCTCAAAATTAAAAATAATTCTGTGTAACCCCTAATATAGCTAGAAAGCTGTGGGTTGGGGATGGGAAGGAATAAATGTGTTTTTGATACTGTGTTGGACCTCCTGAATATTTCTAGATCATATTTGATACCGGTGGTGGTGTCAATATTGATGATTGTATTATCAGATCAATGCTCTAATGTTTTAAAGTAACTGAAAGGAAGGAAATGGCAGTGGATCACTTCTGCTGAATTTCCTGCATAGCCCAACAATCGTTTTCAAGCCTTTTGAACGGAGCACTGTGGATTCCACATAGAGATACTGTTGCTTAACGAAAACTCAAAATCTGTTTTTATTTTGCCATGTTTGGCCTGCTGATGGATGTGAATGAAGGAGACATCTGCCCTGAAGTGATTGCTGCCTTACTGTAAAAGTGCCTCGTTTATTATAACGACCACCCCGAGATGGCTACATACTTCAAATTCCTAGGGGGTTGGTATCAGGTATCTGAGCTGTTTATGTCCCTTCGATACTGAGCCAGAAATACATAAAACCTGAGAGGGTCCTTAATCATACTTTTTTTTCTTGTCCACAGAGTTTCATAGCAGATATTTATTTCCCTAAGAGCAGGACTCTGCCTCTCTTCCATGCTGCCCAGCATGGTCTTGCCTTGTTATGAATGTGTTCAGTGTAGTGATAATGCCCTCAAAGATCAGGAGGAGCATTATTCTAACCAGTTTATTAGCATTGCTGAGAATGTCACAGCCCTGGTACAATGAATCACCTTTCTCTGGAACAACCAGAGAAAAGCATGTTTGCATGTTCTTTGTCCATGCACGCTGGGAAGCATTCATCACAGCAAATTCAAGCGCAAAAACATTGCATCGAATTGAATTTCTGTTCACTGCTTTGTCTTTTTCCTTGTATTAATGTTGCCTATTTTCCTACTGAATTATTAAATTTGATTTACTTCACTCTTTCACTCCTCTTCTCTTCTCTTCTTTTCCCAACACCCTGTTCATTCCTCCCAATTGGATCTGGCTCGAATAAAGAGATCTTGCTGGAATGCCTTTCCCTTCCTTCCTTCCCCCTCCAAAACTATGTTAATCAAGTTCAGTGCCATGTCCGCAGCAAGCCGCCGGATCGCGCCCCAAACCCCGAGCGAGTTGCGCCACATCCAGGAAGGCAACACATGCCCAGTTTCCCGTGCGCCCCGAGGAGGCGCTTCGTTCGCGTCCTCCTCCTCTTCCCTTAATGGCTGGTGTTTTTTTTAAAGATAAATAAAGCTTGCCCGCACTTGTGAATGGGCACCGTCCAGTGCACGGCGGAGGCTGCCTGGGGCGGCGGGGGTTAAATTCTAGCTGCAGTGGCGGAGGAGCTCCGCCCCCCATTTCAGCACCTGGCGCTCCATAGACAGTTGCCTCAGCAGTAGATTTCAGAGGGGATTGGAGGAAAACAAGAGGGGGAGAGAATGTGACAACTGCCGGCTCTTGACTGCTGCCTTGGGGAGGCCTCCGCACCTGTCCCTGCCTGTCTCTTGGCCAACACAGTTGGTGGATCAGAGCAGCCCGAGAACAGGCTCATTTGCCAGACCGGAGCGGTGCGCGCAGGGGGGCGCAAAAGCAGACCATGACTTCTTCGTTCAAGCTGGATTTTCTGCCGGAGATGATGGTCGACAGCCGCTTGCTAGTTTCCGACAGAATGTAAGTACCGCTCCCCCTGCGCGGCAGCCCCGGCAGCCACCCGCGAGCTGCGCCCCGGAACGCGTCGGCTTCTTGACGGTCGCCTTTCCCCGCCCCGCGCCGCCCGAGAGCTTTCCAGACGGAATAAACAAAAGCGCCGGGTCCCTCTCCCGGAGGCGGCGGCGGCGGACCCGCCGCTGGAAGTGCCTGCGTGGATTTGCGCCCGTCTCTGGTCACTTGCACATTCTTTTGTGGTCTCTCGCATGGGTGTGTGTTTCTCCTCTTGCCCGCGTTTCCTTGCTCCCGTCGCCGCAAGCCGCTGGGTTTGATCCCCAGCCCTCCTCGGCAGGAAGGCTGGCTCGAAGGTAGCTGGGGAAGCAACTGGGAGCCTCGTAAATGCGATTTAGATTCTCCTCAGATAATGTGGGGGAAAATTTGCACAGCTTTGCAGGAATAGCAGTAATCAGGATGGCGATAGGGAGACTCCGAGCACGCTTTGAATACCCTGTGGATCTCTCCAAACAGATATTGCGGCTTGAGCATGGACATCTCAACTCGGTGGGGAGTGCAGGGTATTTTCTGCTCAGACGAAGAAAGGAAATGCACTTCAGGTGAAATTAGCGATGGAGGAAAACTGTGCTGAAATGTGGAAAGAGGCAGTTCTGGCCACAGAGCAGGAGAGGAAATTAAATCAGGCAATGTGCTGGTGGACGCGTGGTAAATGTAGTGTTAATTCTTAGCGAGATGTTTCTTCTACGTGGGAATGGAAATGCTAGCGGTGATTGATTGGGCAATGCTGCATACTGGAATTTCAGGGTGGGAAATAATATTGGGTTAATTTTCAGCCATTACTGTTGGTTTTAAAGTTTCTATTGCTGTGTGCTCTCCTGAGGCCAGTTCTGGTTGGGAAAAAGTGCAGTATATTGCATTCTAAGAATGAGAAGCAAATCTGAGTTTTTAAATATCTAGGAAAGAAAAATAATATAGAAGCAGACCATTACAATAATTGGGGGGGTGCTCATAAACCTTCAATGTGCAGAATTTTATAAGGAAAAATTACAGTAATGTTTCTGTATAGGGGAAAGTGTGTGTAAGGGAGAAGGGTTAATAAAACTTTGTCCATTGTCTAACAAACTACATTTTTTTTAATTTGACATTTGTCTGCATATAGTCTGGTCTTGGTCACACTGGAAACTCATTCAAAGTTGTAGCATCTAATTCCTCACTCAACCCACCCTGGTAAATGGTCTTTTCGGGCATTAGATTTCCTGTAGCTCATGCGACGTTTGAGAAGATCTATTCATGAAACAACCATCTGCTTCAACTGCTGAGAATTGATATGTTAAGGGGGTGTCATATTTAATTCAGAGGCCTTTTTGTCATATGCATCCTGGATAATGCACTTGCATCATGGATGCCTTTCCATTGTCAATTTTCAAAATCCTAAATTTAGGATATTGAGTTTGTTGTCCGGAATGATGAATTTACGGAACTGTATTTTTCTTAGCTCAGAGTCTCAATAATATTTGCAATAGTTGCTGTTGTTTTTTGTCCTTAGGTTACCCATCTTTAGCCCATCAGAGTGCCAGGGTGAAGGCGGATATCCTGATAGTTCTTGAGAAAATGTGTCAACACTCAGATATTTGCTTGTGTTCCCCTCCATTTTGACTTATAGAATCCTCCTGCTTAACCCTCAAGTCAGTCAGAAGAGATATCGCTAATAAACGTCTTGCAGCAGTGGGGCTCTGTTAGTTGAATCCACTGGTGCTGCGACTGTCACTCAGCTTTAAGAAATGCTTTCTTAACTTGCCTATTTTGGGATGAGGCTCATGTCAAACTGTCCTGTCCCAGTCTTGCCTTTGGACCTTTCCCTCCTCCTCCTCCTCCTTTATTTCAAATGATTTTCAGATCACCAGAGCACCCATAATATCCCTCCCATTGAAAATGATGCAGAATTATATTTAGAAATGCTTTGACAAATAGCTTCTTATGCACTCTGGGTCCCCCACCCCCACCCTTCTATTAGGAAATGAGCTGAATCAGCAGCACCCCTTGTCTTCGTGGTCCTTTTATGAGATCTTGAGCACAATGCAGAAACGTAACTTCGTGGATGGTCTAAATAGCTTTAAGGACCGGTGCTTTCCAGGGATTGTGGATCTTGGGTGTACCGTAATGTATAATACGGTGTTTGTGATAGCTGGGGATGGAGAGGGACTGTGTGTGTGTTTGTATCTGTCCCACATCTTAAAGAAGGATAGATGACCTCACACTTTCTCTACGGGAGAACGCCATTGCGTTCCCACTTTGGATAGTTGTCCGCTAGTCACCTCGAGGAGCAGAGCATGTCGTGGGCTCTGTTTGTGCATAATTCTCTTTGGGAGCCGTTGGTTCATCAACACTGATGAGCAGGCTGCCGTGCTGCCTGATTGCACATGAAGGGCTGTTTGTCATACAAGCATATTGCCCTTTTAGGCAGCCCATCCCAGACGCCCGAAGCAATCCCACAAGCATATGAAACAGTTTAATCTTTCTGACGCTGCCTGCTGGGTGAGCTGCGTAAAGTTATTTCTTGCTTTTTTAGCACAGGGCACCATCCCCTGGGAATTTCTCCTCTGCAAGCACTATTGAAATGAAGTGTTGTCTTATGCTTTTAAGTTTGTTTCCTGAGCTAGGCGAAGCAAGTTTATCGTTTTTCTCAATGATTATTGTAATATTTGTGAAGGTACTATAGAAGTAGCTGTGTGTAGGTGGGGAAGGGCAAGCTTACGAACTTCTAGACATGCTTATACTGTTAAAAATATGCTCAGCAGTTCCTTTTTAAGGATGTTGCTTTGCTTGGAGAAAATATGCATCTAAAACTATTTCGCTCTTGAGAAAAAGTGCTGCATGCTTTTCTGGATCTGCTTTATCTTGAAACGTCCTGAGTTCAAAATGTGCCTTCTTATTTTCGACACTTTATTTGCAAACCAGTTATCTGGCAACATGCCTGCAGGGTTTCTCTCCCCACGCTTTGCGTTCTTTATGGACTAATAATGTCCTTGTTCCTTTCAGTTTAATAATGTGCAAAATACATGCTTTTCCAAGGTGGACTTGTTTGGCTTCCAAATTCATTTTGTTGGGCTTTCCAGGCCAATCCCAAAAGTGCAGTGTTCAGTTTAGTTGCCTTAGTCGAGGTGCCTCCTGCCACAGCTAGTACCACCTCTCCCTGTAACATCCTAGCAAGTGCCAAGCATCCGTTGCGGATGCTGCCCAAGAGCAGCTTGGGTTGGTCCAAATGGCATTCAGAAGTTGCATCGGTGAGCTGTGCCCTCTGCAGATTTGACTTAGTTCTCTCTGTGAGTCACATGAGAATTGATGCAATGAGTTGTCTTGCAGTGGCAGCTGCCAGAGAAATACTCAGGGCTAAGGCACCAAGATGGCCAAAGCGTCTCTACAGCACCATTTCTTTTTGCTTTGAGTGGAAGACCTACAAAGTGCAGAAATTCTCGATTGTGTGTCCCAGGTTCGGGAGGTCCCCTAAGGATACCATTGCCACGGGACTCCCAAAACCATAGCTGCTGGTAGAAGCACCGTTTTCCGTTCTAGTGCCCGATTCCTGGGCCAGTTAAAACCACCGGAAGTAGACCAGAGGTAATCATTCTGTGTTCTACCATACTGACCACATCTTTGCTAGGCTCAGATGCCGTCAACACAGTCTCTATCCTGGCCTTCATATTTTATTTTATCTTATTTTGGCATGTTTCAAGTCAGCCTGTGTACAGGCATCCCAATCGACGAAGAAATGACCTCACATCCTTCAAATTGATCAAGGAGGAATCTCATGCAGAAAATTGCATGTGTGGGTTTTATTCCTTTATTTAACTTTTTCAATGGTTGCCCCTAAGCTGGGGAATGGTCTGCCAGGGGAAAGATGTGTCTGATTTCCCTCACTGCCACCTTTAAGAGGGACTCAAAGATGTACCTTTGCCGGCAGGCCTTCCCAGGTCAGTTTTCATGTCAGTGTTTAATATGTTGTCCTAGTCAATTTTAATCACTGTTGGTTTTAATGTCTTGTTAACCACCCAGAGCCTATGGGAGTGGGGCGGTATTTTGATATAAAAATAGAAATGATAAATAATAAAGTGAGCGGGACATTCCTGGGAATCTGGCATGCTCCATATGCACATTGGAGTTCTGAAAGCAAATCAGGTGAGAATGTTTTATCATAGCTGTTCTTAATTACAAAGCACTGTTTTGCCTTTCCTTTAAAAAAAGAAAGAAGTGGAATGACATTACTGATGACTATATATTGATATAAATGTTATTGCAATGGAAAGTTTGGCTGCAAGGTGGAACAGCCCAAATTAAGGGGAGGAAGCGATGAGGTCACTGCAGAAACAGAATTCTTTGGATCTCTCAAGTGATGAAGTAATTCTGGAGACCCTGGTATTTATTGCAAAGAATCATGCCCTGTGTGTATCCAGTGGCAGAAAACGAATGCATTGAAGCAAGATCTCTAGCACATCATAAGAAAGCGATGCTAAAACTCAGTGGGGAGGATGATGCTAGATTGGTAGAATCAACCACCTCATGATTTCTGACATGGGCAACTCACTCCCTTGTTTATGTCGATCTGGCTGTTCGTGCTGAAATGAGTAAAGCAACTTGAGGTCCCAAGTGATGCTTGCTTGCTTATTTATTTATTTATTGTATCTGTTTGGAATCCACCTGATAGCATCACACATTGGAACACATGCCTGATTCTGCGTAAACATGTGTTAGATTACTTTGGGCAGCAAACTCCTAAAACTTAATCCTGAAAGCTGGACAACAGACCTGTTTCCCTCGCTGGGTTTCATGGCATGGCATCCCTCCTGCTGCCACCTTTTTTGAGTTGATTAATTGTCCAAAGTAATGAGCTGAATGCCACAGACATCCATTGGATTCGAGTTTAATGTCTAAAGAAACAGAACATGAGCCGGATGTTTCATCAAAGACTCATGCACAACTGATTGGTGTCATAGAAAAGTGCTGTGAATTAT